CACCCACTCAGACTGCGGGGACAGGAACCCCTTGGTCGGCCGATCCCTGGACGGAGATGGCACCCAGACTCAAACACTCCACAGGAGGACGGATAGACACAGAGACAGGACAGTCCTCAGTCCGGACAAAACACAGAAATAATTACCTGACCAGATTCCTGATGCCAGATCCTGGGATCCCTACCAGAACAGAGTGGGAACCAACAGGTTCAATGGCGTAGACCTCACTGTGGCTGTGTGCCCTTCCGTTCAGGCGGAGGACCGCTCGAGCCAAATGCCCAGGTGCCAGCTACCACGGTCGTCCTACAAAAACGGTCAGAAATCACACAGCCCCAGTGAAGACGGTTGCCATCTCGGTGGAACCTCCAAATTGTCAAAGTTAGACTCAGGACTCATAGTTTGTCAGACCACTCTGTTTTATTAGCACAGCGCTCTGCTAATACATTCAGATAATGTAAGCCTCCATGCAAGATTCAAACAAACAGTCTTATTTATACAGATAAAAGGGTGCGAACTAAACAAAGGGTCAGAGAGAGAGCAAAATTGTAAAATTTGCATGGAGCACAATATGCATATCCTGCTTCCTTGTTAACTCTTATCGATCTAAGTCTAATGCTTCACCAATTGCCCTTAAGTGGCAAGTTAAGCAGTTAATGTCTGCTTTCCTGCCCCCCTGGCTTGCAGCATTTCTCATTTCTACTTAAAGGTACACATAGCATTCTTTAATTCATTCTATTTCTTTAATATAATTCATTTCACTTTCATACTATTAAGCTTTCTTCTGTGGTGTCTTTACCCAGCAAGTATGGACCCTTCTTGGGGATCTCTGTGGAGGAAACAGCATTCAGAAAATATTCTTAGCTAGCACTGAATACATGTATTCTCTTTTAACTTAATCACAGCACTGGCTGGGCATAGCTCTGTGTGGCCTTTCTACCAAATTAAGTGACTGTGGTGTGCCTAGTGAGGCACTCTAGTTTAACAATAACTAAGGCTCCCATCCTGCGAGCATTTATGCACACGAGTAGTCCCATTGAATTTCACTCACATGCCTAAAGTTATTTACATGCATCAGCAATGGGGCCTAAGAGTGCAAATGCTCCACTGTGTGAGTCAGGAGCCAGTTAACTGCATTTGAATTGTTCTATAATCAAAACAAACATAATAGTGTCCTGTAAGTCTCTTCAAAGGTGTTCTAAAAGCTAGTGATGGAAAACACAGTAGTATAGTTCAGGCTGAGATAGGATAGACAGCTGGTGTGTGAACCAAATCTGACATCAGGAATCATAACATTCAAAACCAGTAGCAGAACACTTAAACCTCTCTGGCCATGCAGTAACAGATTTAAAGGTGGCAATTTTGCAAGAGAAAAGCTTCAAAAACAGACTCCAAAGAGAAACTGCTGAACTTGAATTAATATGCAAACTAGATAGGCTTAAATAGAGACTGAGAATGGCTGAGCCATTACACACATTGAATCTATTTCCCCATTTTAAGTATCATCACACCTTCTTGTCAAACTGTCTTAATTGGGCTATCTTAATTATCACTATAAAAGTTTTTTTTTGTCCTGCTGACAATAGCTAATCTTATGTAATTAGTCTCTTAGAGTTGGTTGGTCAACTCCCACCTTTTCATGTTCTCAGTATGTATATATATCTCCTCGCTATATGTTGCATTCTATGCATCCGATGAAGTGGGCTGTAGCCCATGAAAGCTTATCATGAAATAAATTTGATAGTCTCTAAGATGCCAAGTACTCCTGATCTTTTATCCTGTAATTCATATTAACCTCACTATTCCGTTGTGATCCCTCTGCCTGTTTCTTTCATCCATTTGTTACTTCTGATCTTATTCCTTGATTATAAACTCTTTTGGGTGGAGATCCTCTTTTTTTGCTTGTATTTGTACAGTCATAGCATAGTAGGGTTGAGGCCTGTAGGTACTACTGCAATACCAACAAATAATAAGATGCCTGTTCCACTCTAAGGCCCCAATCCTGCAAAGACAAAGGCCTGGTCTACACTTAAAAGTTAGGTCCACCTAGTTACATTTCTCAGAGGTGTGAAAAATTCATGCCCTTGCGAGACATAGATAAGTCAACCTAAGCCCCAATGTAGACACCATTAGGTTGACAGAAGAACTCTTCCATCAACCTAGAAGGTGGATTCACTAATCCCTTCCATCATTGTAGTAAGTGTATATGCTACAGAGAGCATAGCTGCAGCTGTGCCACTGTAGCACTTCTAGTGTAGACATACACTTAGGCATACCCTCAGTTTTTGCAAGACTGAGACTCAAGTTAGTCTTTAATGACTTCCCTTAAAATTAGTTTTTGGGCAGAAAATGATGTTTGTTCTCAGCTTGGATGTGATTTTTGGGGAGGAAAAAATTGAAAGTTACTGAGCTGTTTCAAGAGCATGAGAAAAATGTAGTTTTCCTGCTTTAAAAAAATCAACTGTTTTGGGGCTCCGATAATTCAGAAAGGGATTTAATGTGCTTCATAAGAAGCTGATTTCAAAGACCTTACTATTTGTGAAAGCAAAACCTACTTTCTCTTCCACAGAATCTGCAAGTAATGGCTATGACAATCCTGCTTTCCAACATCATGAAAAACCTGAGCAAAATGACCATTTACATAAGAACAAGAAAAAGTAGGGGTTCCTTGATCTTAATACGCTGTTAAATTTCTTGCCCTGTCTTTTAAGCAAGAGCCTGGATTAATTTTGCATTAATCTCTTTAGAAAGAAAAATGAGAAGTCAAAGGAAAAGATGGTTGGCATTTTGAAATTGGTTAGTGCATAGTTTATTGGTTTGATTTTATTTCTCATTGTTCCTTTTCTTTGCCTGTTATACATTATGGTAACAGACGAATGTGCAACCACAATACTGCATTTAGAAAGAGAAGAAAGAGGTCTGTGCAAAAGTTAGTAATGCTGCACAGCCATTTTTGTGCTTTGATCTCAGGCTTCCCTCCTTAAAAATATGGCCTGTTGTGCAAAGATCTGCCCACAGCTAATTGCCAGTGCTTGACGATATTTCAGCACTAGCACAATGTCTCATGAATTATCCAGGGAAACAAGTGCTGTGTTTTTCTTAAATGTGATAAATGCTACATGCCCGTTTCTATTGGTAGGCAGCAGCCAAATGTTTGTCAACTACCTGTTCTTGTTTACATTTTAAATGCACTGAGTAAATATGGGATGTAGTAGAATGCACACAGG